TTTACACCCTCGGAAACCCTGTACAGGGTCGCTATGGGTCGGAACCGACTTGACGGCACTTAACAACAACAACAACAATGGAGTACTGTAGGGTAAGCATTAGACTGTTAATCACAAAATCGGTGGTTCAAACCCACTAGCTCCTCGGAAATACTATCAGAGTCACTGAGTCAGAACCAACTCGACTCAAAGGCACTTAACAATAACATAATTTATAGTATTATTACCATGAACTTTCAAAGAATCTCATTAACTCACTAATCTTTCTGAGCCCGGAATGAGACAGGCTTAAATACAAATCCTGTCATTTACCAGCACATTAACATTACCTGACTATTAAGATTATGGTGAAGAATTTAATAATGATACAGTTCCCTTCTCTCTCAATCTCCCAAAGCAAAGATAACAGAGGAAGGAAATACTTCTAATAGCTGCAAATACAGTCACTTTTTCCATTACTGGCACGTGAGGGTGAGGGGGAATACAGATGCAAAGGCACATATAGAAATCTGGGGTTCTGAGTGAAGTCCCCAAATGCTTGCAAAGAGGCAGCATGTTCGATCCTCAGGGACCCGGCCCCGCGCAACTCCCCTCTTGAGTCCCGGGCCGAAGAGCCTCCGCAAACAAGCATAGTTATTTCGGAATCACCATGAGGCAATTCTCATGAGGCAACGGGTCAGGAATGCGGCGCCGAGCCGAGCCGCTGGCGTCCGCGACTCCCCCGGCTGGTATACTTGCCCGGGTCTTGACTGGCAATCCCCGGCTGCGGGAGCCGGAACTCCGGGAGGCAGGAAATGAATGGGGACCCGAGGGATGGGGGCGCGGAAGAGGCAGGCCCCCGTTCTCGGGAGGTCGAGGGGATTAGGAAGGAACCTGTGCCCCCACCCCGAGGCGGGGGCCTTGCAGCGGCGCCCCTTCCCGGGCAGGGCGCGCCAAACGAGGCGGGGGCCCGGCTAAGGCCCGAGCCGGGGGACCCCGGGGCTCCTCACCTCCGCGATGTCATGTTCCTCCCGCCCTCCGGCTCCGCGACGGACCCGCTCCTTGCTCAGCTTCTGCTAGGCCCGGTCACATCAGGCTGGCCCCAGGGAGGCCCCGCTCGGGACCGGACAGGGGGCAGAGCCAGCCGGCCGCGCAGACCCCCCCTCCAGGCCTGGGGATCCCGGAGACTGTGTAGCCGCCCCCCCAGCCCGGCTAGCTCCTCCTCCTCTCCCGCCCTTCGCTACCGGCGCCACCACAACGTCACCCCGCGCGACACTAGCCGCCACTTCCTGCTCCCGTCTGTTAGGAAGTGTGCGGCCGCCAGCAATGGAAATTCGCTGGCTCGGTATCGCCCCCGCCGTTCTGTGCCCAAAGCTCCCTCGCTTCCTCCCTTAAATCTTGACTGCTGACAGCTAGCAGCGCGCTTGCAGTTCACAGTCCCTCCTACCTATGGCTTCCTAGCCTACTATGTCAATTTCCATCCCGGCTCTGACTGCCGAATCAGATTCATTCATTTTATTCCACAAATCACTTATTGGCTATATAACCTTGAGAAAGTTTCGTAATTATTCTGTAGCTCAGTTTCCTCATCTATAAAATGAATTTTCTTTTTTGCGGTTACTGTGATGATTAAACATGTAAATTGGTTAGAACTGAGCCTGGCCTATGTGTTGTTAAGTGGCGTCGAGTTGGTTCTGGCTTATAGTGACACTATAGGGTTTCCAAGGAGTGGCTAGTGGGCTTGAACCGCCAACTTTGCGATTAGTAGTTCTAATGGTGGTGTTGGTTATGCGCCATGGAGTCAGTTCCCACTATTAATGGAGTCTGAGGCTGTAACTCTTTGTTGTTGTTGTTATGTGCCGTGGAGTAGGTTCCGACTCATAGCGACCCTACACCGGGTTTCCAAGGCTGTAAATCTTTACGGGAGCAGACCACCTCATCTTTCTCCCGCGGAACCGCTGGTAGTTTCGAACTGCAGACCTTGAGGTTCACAGCCCGATTCGTAACCGCTATGCTGCCAGAGCTCCTTAGGGGAGTAGAAAGCCTCATCTTTCTCCCGCGGAACAGCCAGTAGTTTAACAACAATTTTAAGATTGTTGTTAGGTGCCGTCGAGTCGGTTAGGACCCATAGCGACCCTCTTTAGGGTTTTCAAGGAGCAGCTGGTGAGCTTATACCGCCGACCTTGCGGACCAAACCTACTTTGCAGTCCAGTGCATTAACCTGCTTTGCCACACCAGGACTCCATAAATCTTCATCGGAACAGAAAGCCTCACCTTTCTCCCCCAAAACGGCTGGTAGTTTTGATCTGCTGACCTTGAGGTTAGCAGCCGGACTCATAACCACTACCTTACCAGAGCTCCTTTATTATAAGATTACACATATATTAATTAACTCGTTAAGGGAATGTTGTTGTCATTGTTTTGTGCCGTGGAGTCGGTTCCGACTCATAGCGACCCTGTACCGGGTTTCCGAGGCTGTAAATCTTTACGGGAACTGAAAGCCTCATCTTTCTCCCGCGGAACAGCTGGTAGTTTCGAGCTACTGACCTTGAAGTTTGCAACCTGATTCGTACCTACTACGCTACCAGAGCTCCTTGTTAAGGGAATAGAGCTAGTAAACAGCAGAACTAGAATTTGAACTGACGTTTGCTTCCCTCCAAAATCATTTTTGTCCCATTGAGTCACATCTTACCCCTATACAAAGAACTCTGCCACTGTTTACTATGCCTAGTCAAACAAGGAGTTCAGGTTTGGCATTTTAGTATAAACACTGGACAGCAAGGTCTATGACAAGGAAGGTTGGTGGTTCAAGCTCCTGGGAAACCCTATACAGAGTCACTAAGAGTGGGAACCGACTGGATAGCACTGAACAACAACAAAATCAAACATAGGAACCCAGGTGTAGCCTTGTAAAATAAGCACTGAACTGCTAATTGCAAGGTTGGAGGTTCAACCCACCAACCCACTCCTCGGAAACCCCATTGTTGTTGTTGTTATGTGCCGTGGAGTCAGTTCCGACTCATAGTGACCCTGTACAGGGTTTCCGAGGCTGTAAATCTTTACGGGAGCAGAAAGCCTCATCGTTCTCCCGCGAAACAGCTGGTAGTTTCGAACTGCTGACCTTGAGGTTCGCAGCCCGATTCGTAACCACTACGCTACCAGAGCTCCTTTTTCGGACACCCCATACAGGGTCAGAACCAATTCAACAGCACTTACGAACAATCAACAGAAAGAGCCCAGGTGACGCTGTAGTATTAGCACTGTAAACCGCAAGGTCAAATTAAAACAGGATAAGCCCTGAACTTGAAGGTTGATTTGAACTGCAAGGTCAGTGGTATAAGCCACCTTATACAGGGTAGCTATGAATTGGAATAGATTCAATGGCAGTGGGTTTTTAAAGTGTGTTTATTAGATGTGTGTGTGTGAATACTTGTGTTAATGAACATCTCTCTAGACTAGTACTGGTTGTTCAACACAAGTATAATGTGGGTCACATACGTAATTTTACAGTTTCATTTTTGTTGTTATTAAGTGCCGTCGAGTCGATTCTAACTCATGGCGATCCTGTATAGGGTTTCCAAGGAGCAGCTAGTGAGTTTCAACTGCCAACCTTGTGGTTCACAGTCCAGTGCTGATCCTACAGTGCCACCCAGGAGTCCTCAGATTCTGTTAGTCACGTTTAAATTAAAATTTACATATTTAAATCAAATTTAAATTAAAAGAAACAGGTGGAAATTGTTTGAATTTTGTAAACCTAATTCACCTAGTGCTGCTATAATAATAAAAAAAAAAATTAGTGGGTGGCTTTAATCAATAGAATTTTATTTTCTTGCAGTTTGGGAAGCTGGAAGTCTGAAATCAGGGCACTGACTCTAGGGAAAGGCTTTCTCTCTTGGCTCTGTGGGGAAGGATTTTGTCTTGTGAGTTTCTATTCCTTGGCTCATTGGTGATCTTTATTTGGAATTGTCCATCTTCCCCCTTCTCTGCTTGTTCCTGCTCTTTTCACATCTCAACATAATTGGCAGAAAATACACCCTGCACTGATTTGCCTTTTTAACATATGATTCTCAAAAGGGATTATATTCACAAGTATTGTTGTTAACAGTCATCGAGTTGTTCCTGACTTATAATGACCGTTTATAGGATCTCCAAGGAGCAACCTGTGGATTTGAGCCACCAACCTTGTGGTTAAGTTGTTGTTGTTGTTGTTAAGTGCCGTCGAGTCAGTTCCGACCCATAGCGACCCTGTACAGGGTTTCCGAGGCTGTAAATCTTTACGGGAGTAGAAAGCCTCATCTTTCTCCCGCGGAGCGGCTGGTAGTTTCGAACCGCTGACCTTAAGGTTCGCAGCCCGATTCGTAACCACTACGCTACCAGAGCTCCCTAAGTAGTCCTGTACTTATCCCACAGCACCATGCCACGACTCCAAACCACAAGTATAATTGGTTGGTTATATGCTACGGAGTCGGTTCTGACTCATAGAGACCCCTATAGGGTTTCCAAGGCTGTAAATCTTTTACAGGAGCAGAAAGCCTCATAGTTCTCCCTCAGAACGGCTGGTAGATTCAAACTTCTAACCTTGTGGTTAGCAGCTCAGCTCATAATCCATGATGCTACTAGAGCTCCTAAACCACAAATATAGAGGTTAAGATTTAGGGGGACACAATTTTGGGGGGCACAATTAATTCATAACACCAATATAACAAAATATGGTCAATCAACATGTCATCAATATGAAACATTCTAAATAAGATATATTACATTCTTTTTTTTCTTAAGCCTTCAAAAATTCAGCGAATATTTTACATTTACAGCATGTCTTAATTTAAACTATCTACATTTCAAGTCGAGTTAGAAAGATGAGGCTTTCTGCTCCCACAAAGATTTACAGCTTCAGAAATCCTACAAAGGGTCGCTATAAGTTGGAATTGACTCAATGGCAATTTACAACAACAGCAGTATGTCAAGTGATCAGTAGTCACATTTGACTAGAGGCTACAATACTGCACAGCTCATTCTTTTCCAAAACTGCAAAATAGTAATCTATTTCTGTGTGGGTGAACATTAACTTATTTCTAGTTTGGGGGTGGTGGTGGTGGTTGTGTATGTTTTGTTTGCTTGCTTCCATGGCTTTCTTTATGAGGAAATTGTTGACAGAGTGAATCACTATATTGACCATAATATTAACACTCAGGGAGGTATTATCAATATTGTCAATTGTTATTAAGTGTTGTCGAGTTAGTTCCAACTCATAGCAACCCTGTATAGGGTTTCTGAGAAGTGAGTGGTAGGTTTGAAACCGACTTTGTGGTTAGCAGTCTAGTGCTAGCCTACAGAACCACACCAGGACTCTGAATATTGTCATATTGTCCCCATTTTATAGGAATGCTGATATGCAGGGGCTTACCTCTGGTAGTGCAGTGGTTACGAATCGGACTATGAACTGCAAAGTCAGTAGTTTGAAACTACTAGCTGTTCCGCACGAGAAAGATGAGGCTTTCTGCTCTCATAAAGATTTACAGCCTCGGAAACCCTGTACAGGGTTGCTATGAGTCGGAACCAACTCCACTGCACATAACAACAACAACAATAACAAAACCCTGAAGCTGGGACTTCTGATGTGGCACTGTGGATCAGTCCTGGACTGTGAACCACAAGATCAGCAGTTCAAACCCACTAGCTGCTCCTTGGAAACCCTATACAAGGTTGCTATGAGTTGGCGCCAACTTAACATCACTTCCACCAAGAAATCCTGAAGTTATCTAGCAAATGGCTTCTGGGTTATAAGAACAGTAGTTCTTATAACTACTTGCAGTTCCATGGGAGAAAGATGAGGCTTTCTGCTCCCTTAAAGATTTACAGCCTCGGAAACCCTGCAGGGTTGCTATGACTTGGAACTGACCCCACCACCCTTGCTGCAGCACAACTGTCTCAGAGTCACAAAGAGATATGAACCAATTTAACTAGATGTGTCACCTTGGGCAATTCATTTATTCTAATAGTGCCTCAGTTCTTTCACTTCTACCTCACAGCGAGGTTGTAATAACATTTAAAATGCATTAGTCTCCAGACATGTTTTGTTGTTGTTGTGTGCCGTCAGAGTAGGTTCGGTTCCGACTCATGGAGACCCTGCATAGAGTTTTCAACAAGAGGCTGATGGGTTTGAACTGCTAACCTTGATGTTAGCAGTCCATTGCTTATTATACAGCGCCACGACACACAAGTTTATTATTTGCAAATAAGAACGCACTGCATAAATTTAAAGAGCATTTTGTATAGCGACTCAACGGCACTTAACAATAGGCACTTAATAGAGTCAACTTTATAACCACATGATTATTATTATATAATTATTATTTATGATATTTTGCCCAACTGATGAACTTTCAAGGTGCCATGGTGGCTCAACAGTTAAGCGCCAAACTACTAACAAAAAGATGGTAGTGGTGGTTATGTGCTATGGAGTCGGTTCCTTGGAAAACCTTTACAGGGTCACTGCGGGTCTGAACCGACTCCAAGGCACTTAATAACAATGGAACTTTTGGGGTCAGTTCTACTCCACCATATAGGGTGGCTATGAATAGAAAATAGTTTTTATGGCACTTGACAATGAACTGTTCTCAGGAGTTGAAATCCAGTGAACCGTTTTGCAATACTTCAATAAACCACAAGAGGGCTTCACTTATGCTTTTATTGCAATGGCTGTTCATATAACAAATAATTTGGGATTTTGACCTGGTGTGGCGCTGTAGGATAAGCACTAGACGGCTAACTGCTAGATTACAGGTTCAAGCCCACCAACTGCTCCTCGGAAACCCTAAAAAGGGTCGCTATTATGAGTTGGAACCAAGTCTCAGAAATCATCAGAATTTCTGAAGGGTCATCGACAACTAACAATAACAACATAACACAAAGCATTTTACGACAAAATATTTTCCCCTTTCTCCGTTTCCTTCAAAGGAAAAAAAAAGACTACGTCTCCCGTCATGCTCCAAATACGGAAGGAAGTGGAGCTGACACTTCCCATGATTCCTTATAGCCGGAAGTTGCAGGCCTTAATTCTCTTTCCCATCTTGCAAGGTAAGAATGGCGGCGTTTTTCTGCAAGACATGTTTTCAGCACCTCAATCCTTCGCCATCCGAACCAGGAGGGCATCAAGTTGACAGATAGAAGTATCAGTCATGCTCGTGGCCAACTAAAAGGCCTCCCAGACGTTTCATTTCTTTCGCTTGGGTTTGCGGCGGGGCACGAAGCGGGTGAGGTGAGATGCCGCGGAGACTGCGGTGGCTGCGGTAGCTTGCCACCCTTTCGAATTAGGCGCATGGGGTCCCTGCGGGGCTTCGTAGTGGGCTGGAGGGACCGAGTTGATCGTTGGCGTTCCGGAATCCAGAGCCTGGGTTCTCGAAGACGCCACTGTAGTTGTTTAGAGCCACGTTGAGAATTAGGGCTGAGGCCAAATGCAGCTTTCCTGTATTCCCTCTCTCCGCTACCGGAAGTCGTCTTTTGGGATTAGCAGCGCTTTTTTATTTTTGGTCGGGACCGAGTTTGGGCTAATGGATGCCCGTCCTTGCTTTTTTAAACTGAAAGTAAGAGCAACGACCCTAAAAGCAGATGGCTACACATTACAGGTTTTTTACTTAAATTTGCTTAAGTCTTTACCTCGGTGTCTTAACTCGTAAATTAGGAATAGTAATGGTGTGGAGACTTCGGACCACTAAAGCTGACGAGGGTATGATATTTCACGGTACAGGGGAGACAACCCATAATGCACAACAGGAGTTAGAGGTGTGAGGTTTTGGAGGAGTCGGGAGATGAAATAAATGACTTCTTAATTTCAAGTTGAAGAGAAGGACTTGGGAGCCTGGGGGTTTCTCAGTGTGCGACTTTAGTGTTTTCTGTTAAGGAATGATGGATGAGATACCTTTTGTCCCCTCAATATTGCTAGATGGCGGGTGAAAAGGCTGAGAAGCCTCCTACCAAGGTGGAGAAGCCTCCTACCAAGGTGGAGAAGCCTACCAAGAAGAAGAAGCCTATAGTCAAAAAAGCAAATGCCAGTGGCAAAGCTAAGAAGACTAATCTCAAGGGCAAAAAACCCAAGCAGGGGAAGCCGCACTGCAGCCGAAATCCTGTCCTAGTCCGAGGAATTGGCAGGTATTCCCGATCGGCCATGTATTCTAGAAAGGCCATGTACAAGAGGAAGTATTCAGCTGCTAAATCCAGGGTAAGGAATGTTGGGAGAGCCGCTGACCATTCATTATGTGTGAATCTAAAAGGTTTTGTCTGTCTCTTGACTTAGTGATGCTTCTGTCTTGTAGGTTGAAAAGAAGAAGAAGGAGAAGGTTCTTGCTACTGTCACAAAACCAGTTGGTGGTGACAAGAATGGTGGTACCCGAGTGGTTAAACTGCGCAAAATGGTAAGGTGGAGGCCATAGTAAATTGGTTGTGTTTCACTTAAGCTTGAGTACTCTGGTGGTTTTTGTGTATTGTTTTTAGAATGTCATTTACCAGAGAACTGATCATCTAAAGCACTGGGTTTACAACTTGGCTCTATTACTTAGAGCTTGGTATTCTGTGAGTTGTAAGTGGGAAATGCGTGATTGTGAAGGTTGAATGAAGGAGGACAAAACATAGAATCAAGAATGTTGTCTGGCCTAGAGAACATAAATCTGCTAAAGCATTGTTTTTTCCTCTCCTGCCACATACAAGCTTTACTCTCTGTATTATGGCAAGTGGGCCAACCCTCACAAGGAAAATTGCACACTAGAGGAGAGGTGACACTTCGACTTCCTTTCTTATCATGGTTTTTGCCAGCTAGTTTTTCTGTTAGGTTCAGTAGTTAAAAGTGTATATGGCAGTAATGAACACTAGGGTCCCTCACCTGTGGTCTCTGCTTGTAGAAAGGTGACTTCCTGCATGTATGGTATTGCCCATGGGGGGTTGAAGCTGGGGCAACTGGTATCGTGAAGGTGGACCATCTTTGAAGTTAAGGCGAGGAAGCAGGTCTGGCCCAAGGTTCCAGCTCCAAGTGGTGGCAGAGTCAGGCTGGTCCTTGGTCAGGAGTCCTAAGCTGGGCTTGCTTGTTTCTGGGGTCCATGGGATTGCTGATTGGCACCTGTGTAGTCAAAGTCCCTTGTGCTTCCTCAGTGCCCTTCCTAAGTGAGGTGATGTCACTGGGTGACGCTAATACTAGCTGCAGTTTAAGGTAAGTGACTGGGGGTGGTGGGCAGTCACAGTGAGAGCCAGGAGTGCTGGTGGCACCCAAGTCCTCCTGTCCCACATAATAGGAGCCCTTTGCCTCCAACAAAATCACCAAAGGAGTTTTGAAGTTATTAAGGGGATGAGCTAGGTCCACCTATATGTGAAAATCAGGTGAGGGCAGCAGAGACAGGACAATGGGAAGGGGAAGATAGATGGTGTTTGGGCCACACTAGCTATGGCAGAGTGGACAGCTCTGCTGCAGTGGCAGGGGCCCAGGGAGAGACAATATCAGTATAGGTGAAGTGATAAGGTAATATGGTCATCCTATGAGTTGGAACTGACTCAAAAGCACTCAGTCACTGCCACCTAGTCTTTGAGGTCCTTGTGTGGTGCTAACTGCAAGATCAGTTGGTTTTCAGAAACCCTCTGAGTTGGAACTGACTGGACAGCACTCAACCTGGTTTGAAACCTAACCATGTCGTTAAATAAGGGGTGGGTGTAGTTTGAAGTGGGTTATGATTTTTTTTTTAATTGGGGCTCAAGCTGTGCCTCTTCATAATATGCACAGTACAGTGTGTCATGTGTTCTGAAGAGCTATCATTTTATGTTGGTTTTTTGGGATCAGCAACAGACTGGGAACCCCTCGGGCAGGCAGTTCAAGCCCACCAGCTGCTCCTCGGAAACACCATAGAGGGTCCCTGAATCAGAACTGACTGGACAGCACTTAACTAACAACAGCCTGGTCTTTGAAACCTAACCATGTCCTTAAGTGAGGGTTGGGTGTAGCTTGAATTGGGTTGTTTTTATTTAAATTGGGAGTTGAGTTCTGCTTCCCTTCATATGTAAAATATAAGGTATTGTGTTAGAGGTCAGGGAAATCTACAAAATCGCTAAATCCAAAGTTTGGAATCAGTGCTGCATTGCAGTGTGAAAGATAGCTTTACTGGCAGTTTACAAAGGTAACTCAGCCCTTTCTGTGTTCAAATACAGCTCCTCTTGTTAGTGGCCTCCATCCAAGTTTTCATCTATGAAGGTTGTAACAGAGACAAGAGTTAACTGGCTTTCTGTTCATCTGAAGGGCTTGTTTAAATAAATTGGAACCTCTGACTCTCTCCAGCCTAGGTATTACCCAACTGAAGATGTGCCTAGGAAACTGTTGAGCCACGGCAAAAAACCCTTCAGTCAGCATGTCAGAAGACTGCGGTCCAGCATCACTCCTGGGACCATTCTGATCATCCTCACTGGGCGCCATCGAGGCAAGGTGAGCAGGGCACCTTGGTCTAGTAGGCTCGAGCCCTGGAAAGATTTGTTTACCTATTTTGATGGTCTATAAAATAGCAGCAGTCGAATCACTTAGTAGCAGACAGTCATACGTATTGTGCATAGTTTTTCCTACTCATAACCAGCAAAAAGATTTTCCTGTTATACAAATACCATCTCTAATCCAAAGTATACATTAATTGATATAACCATTTCTTGCCATTGGTTATATCACTTGCCACAGAAGGGTCTTCAAATGGCCTTTTAGTAAAAGATATTTCTATAATTAAGTAACTTCCTTAGGAGAGATGTGCAGAACTGGAATTATCTTCGTTGTACAGTATTAAAAGGAATGCCTGCTCATTTTTTTAAACTCAAATGCTGGGATACTAGTATCCTGAGTTCACCCCTGTAAATAGTTTGGTATAATTGCTTTCCTGAACAGCCGAGCAGCATACATATACGTAGACATTTCCTTTACCAAATGTAGACACATGGTATATGTTAAATTAAAAAATCAGTTTTTAATTTGCAGACACATGAGTTACATCTAATGTGTTTCTATTTCACAGAGGGTGGTTTTCCTGAAGCAGCTGGCCAGTGGTTTGCTCCTTGTGACTGGTAAGAAAATCCTTCTTTATATTTTTTTCAACTTAAATTTATGTGCTGTTAATATATTTGTACCTGCAGAGACTAGAAGTTGCACAATTCTGAGAGATTGTGAACCCCTTTTACTGCCCTGTGTACCTTGTATGCATATTGGCAAGTAGCTGTCACCTGAAATACCTAGTGTTAAGTGCCATCAGTCAAGTCAGTTTTGCCTCATAGCGACTCCGGGTTTGAACCACTGACCTTGTACTTACCCTCCCTACAGCGCCACACACTTGCTGGCTTTAAAGTTTTGGAGGAAAGAGGAAAGAAAGCCTTCTCAATGCTGACTATGGAAGACAATTTGGGGGTTTCTTCAAATACCTACTCAGTTCATCAATATTTATTTCCCTGTTAGGACCTCTGTCCCTCAATCGAGTTCCTCTGCGTAGAACACACCAGAAATTTGTCATTGCCACCTCCACCAAAATTGATATCAGTGGTGTGAAGATCCCCAAACATCTCACGGATGCTTACTTCAAGAAGAAGAAGCTGCGGAAGCCCAGGCACCAAGAAGGCGAGATCTTCGACACTGAGAAAGAGGTACGGTGTTCTGTTCCTGTCATCTGTGAAGTCATTGTCACTTTTAATTGGGAACAAAAATAAACATGGTTAAACATTACACAAAAATGAAAAGTATAAATAAGGAAGAGGTAGGTATCTGGGAGAAGACTCAGTTTTTTCCAGATTCTTCTAAATTTAGTAACTTAACAGTGGGATCTGGACAGTTTAACTAGAATCCTGGAGTTTTGGTAGAACCTCCTGAAAATTACTGCTACAGTTCTATCAGGAATGTACCCTTATTTATTCTGGATCAGTATTAATGTACAAAGAGAACTGTATTGCCTTAAAAATAATTTCTATTTTTGAGGCATAAAGAATTAACAGTTGTCCTTAATGTGCTTAGAAAGGGGCATTGATACAGGATTCCTAGGTTGATCCAGATATTTGATAACCTAGATCTGCTTATTAAATGTTAACATTTCTGTTTCTTTAGAAATACGAGGTTACAGAGCAGCGCAAAGTGGATCAGAAAGCTGTGGACTCACAAATTATGCCAAAAATCAAAGCCATTCCCCAGCTCCAAGGTTACCTGCGTGCTGTGTTTGCTCTCACAAATGGAATTTATCCTCACAAATTAGTATTCTAGATTTCTTACAAAGAAAGAACCTCATTAAATAATTGATAAATTTAACGTGTCTTGTTTTTCCTTTTGGTGAATTCTGATCTGACTTACAGTGTCAGAGCAGCCAGCTTGATGGGACTTTTGCCTCTACTCCAAGGAATGGGTGAAGTCCTGGTGTGGCGCTGTGGGTTAATGCGCTCGACTGCAAACTTTGTTTGAACCGCAAGGTCAGCAGTTCGAACTCACCAGCCACTCCTTGGAAACCCTATATAGGATCATTATGGGTCAGAATCACTCAAAGGCACTTAACAACAGATAAGAAATGGGGGTTTCATGACAATATGGGGATTCCTTTTCACTGGTTTGGGACCTGAGGTCACCCTTCCTTAACTTTCTTTGTCCACTGGCATCAGCATTGACTTCTGGCTTTTCCACATGTAAGACAGTGACCCTGAACAAGGCAATAGGAAACCACTAAGGACTCCCTAGCCCATTTCTTACCTCCTTTAGCTCCTCCCTCATAATTACCGCTATTAGTGTCTAAGACTTGTTTTGAACATATGAATACAACTATCCCCCATCCCTTTTTATTTGTTTAGCCAAAACTCTAGTACATGGGGAAAATACCCAGATAATTTCTGCTGGGTTAAAGGATGTGTGCATTTTGATTTTTAGTGTGGCTAGTACCAAATGGAGTCCAGATGTGAACTGCAAGGTTGGCCAATCAAATCCACCAGCCGCTCCTCCAAAACACCCTATACAGTGTTGCTATGAGTCAGGCCTCAGCAGCACTAACCAACAGTACCAAGTGGTCTTGCAGTAGTTTCCTGCTTGTGCTCCTATTCATTCCCTAAACTTGCTAACAAAAGCCTTGGGTTTTTTGCCAGTAAAGCAATGTACTAGTTGGAAGCTCCAGTTATGATTAAAAGCCACTATAAATACAACAGGTTCTCTTGGATAAATACCTAAGAGTGATTACTAAATTGGGTAATCCATAAACTATTTTTTGACTGTCAAATGTTTCCATTTTGCATTTCCTCTAGCAGTATATAAGTTCTGCTATTCCACATTTTTTTTGTCAGTCTGGTATTTTCAGTTCAAAAATTTTCACTATCTTAATAAATATGTGGTGATAGCCACTGGTGTGCTTTTGAAATGTCTGAACATGTCACTCGTCTGCTTAGAGTCCTTTTATAGCTCCATGTTGCTTAGGAGCGGCCCTGTTTCTCTAGACTTTATATTCTACCCCTCACTTTATGATCATTCTTCAAAAAGAATACTGTGGGGGTTTTTTTTGGTTTTGATTTTTAATGTCCATACACATTTATTTACTCAGCAACTTTGTGGTTGATAATACATAAGATTATTTCAACAGATACAATGGTGTATAGCATGTGTTAAGTGCCGTCAAGTCATTTCTGATCCACAGCTTGCCAGTATTGTGTTTTAAAGGAGCAGCTGGGGAGCTTGAACCAACAACCATGCAGTTCAAATGGCTTTGCATTCTGGTGCATTAACCCACAGCAGCATACCAAGAGTGTATGCATGTACTCATCGCTAATTCTTAAGTTGAGGAACCAAGATACGTCTTAAATGTAGGCTTTAGAACAACATTCATTACATAGTATTACCATAGTAAAAACAAATTTCCTAATGCTCAAGTATCCTGTGAAATACTCAGATATTTTTTTCTTCATTCATATTGATAAAATCTATTGTGTTTAGTTGCTTGTTGAGTCTTTGTCAGTTTAATCTTCTCAGATAACCTCAGTGCCTGTTTTCCCAAGGCTGATTAAGTTTGGCATGCCTGTCTACCAAAATCTGCCAATACCTCTGTTCATAATCACCAGAAAGTACTTTGAGTTTCCAATTGTGTTTCTTTTAATTTCTGTGCCTGCATCTGTTACTTGAATAGCTTCAGGAGTCTTTAAGTCTTGGCATGGCATTCTGTATCTCCTAGCAAGTCAACATACAGTTTCTGAGATCACTGCCAAAGTAATCCTGTATGAGAGTTGAGTCGTTAGGTGCAATCGAGTCGGTATGTACTCAGTGACCCTTGTACAAAGGAGTAAAACACTGCCGGTTCTGCACCAACCTCACAATCCTTGCTATGCCTAAACCCATTATTACTGCTACTGTGCTAGTCCATCTCATTGGGCGTCTTTTTCTCCAACTTTCCACGTTACCAAACATGATATCCTACTCCAGGGACTGGTCCCTCCTAACGGTATGTCCAAAGTATGAGATACAAGTCTGGCTTCCAGGGAGTATTCTGGCTGTATATCTTCCAACACTTGTTCTGGCAGTTGGTGGTACTTTTATTATTATTCTCCAACAACGGAGCTCAAATGCAATTCTACGGTCTTCCTTAAGGAGCTCTGGTAGTGTAATGGTTACGAATTGGGCTGCAAACCGCAGGTCATCAGTTTGAAACTACCAGCTGTTCCGCGTGAGAAAGATAAGGCTTTTTGCTCCCGTAAAGATTTATAGCTTCGGAAACCCTGTTCAGGGTAGCTATAGGTCGGAACCTACTCCACAGCACATAACAATAACAGTCTTCCTTATTCACTGTACATCTTTTGTATCCACATGAGGTTTTTGAAAATACCATGGCTTGGGTCAGGCACACCCTATTCCTCATACTGACATCTTTACTCTTGAACGCTTTTAAAAAGTCTTGTGCAGCAAATTTGCTTAATGCAATGCATTGTTTGATTTCTTCTGTTTCCGTGAGTATTGATGGTTGATCCAAGTAAAATGAAGTCTTTCAGAACGTCAATGTTTTCTCCATTTATCGTGATGTTATTTATAGGTTCATTGATGAGGATTTGTTTTCTTTACATTAAGGTGCAACCCATACAGAAGTCTGTGGTCTTTGATCTTCAGTATTTTAAGCCTTCTTCACTTTCAGCAGCCAGGGTTGTATCATCTATATTTTGCAAGTTGTTAATGAGTCTTCTTCCAATTCTGATACCATGTTTTCCTTCCTATAATTCAGCTTCTCCCATTATTTGCTCAGCATACAGACTGAATAAGTATGGTGAAAGAATACAACCCTGGGAAACACCTTTCCTGATTTTAAATGATTCGGTGTTCCCTTGTTCTGATCAAAGCACTGCCTCTTGGTCCATGTATAGGTTCCTCATGAGTACAATTAGTGTTGTGGAATACTCATTCTCCGCAATGCTGTCCATAGCTTGTTATGATCCACACAATCAAAAACCTTTGCGTAAACAATAAAGCACAAGTAAATATCTTGTCTTCTCTGCTTTCAGGCAAATCCATCTGACGTCTGCAATGATATCCCTTGTTCTACGTCATCCTTTTCAGAATCCGGCTTGAAGCTACGGAAGTTCTCTGTCAGTATATGGTTGCAGCCATTTTTGTATTATCTTTAGTAAAACTTTGCTCACCTGGGATAGCAATGACATCTGATGATTTGTGCATTCCATTGAGTTACCTCTCTTTGGAATGGGCACAAATACGGATCTCTTCCAGGCCAGGCAGTTGTCTTCCAAATTTCTTGGCATAGGTGAGTAAGTGCCTCCAGTGCCACATCAGTTTATTGAAAGATTTCAATTTGTATTCCATCAATTCCCAGTGCCTTGTTCTTTCCCAATGCCTTCAGTGCACCTTGGACGTCTTCCTTCAGTAACATTGACTCTTAAAATGGTTGAACGTATCAACCATTTCTTTTGGGTATAGTGACTGTATTCCTTCCATCTCCTTTTTTGATGCTGTCTGCATCATTCAATATTTACGCATAGAATCCGTCAATACTGAAAATTGAGGCTTGAATTTTTTCTTCAGTTCCCTCAGCTTGAGATATGCTGAGAATGTTCTTTCCTTTGGGTTTTCTATCTCCAGGTCTTTGCACATATCATTATAATAGCTTACTTTGTCTTCTAAAGTGGACCTTGCAATTTTCTGTTCAGCACTTGTACTTCCTCACATTTGCTTTAACATGCCTATGCTGGAGAGCAAGTTTTAGAATCTCCTCTGACATCCAATTTGCTCTTTTCCTTCTCTTTTGTTTTCTTAATAACCTTTTGCTTTCTTCTTGTATGATATTCTTGATATCATCCCACAAGTCTTCTGGTGTTCAGTCTTTATTGTCTAATCAAATCTGTTCTTCAGATGATCTCTAAATTCAGGTGTGATACATTCAAGGTCATATTTTGGCTCTTGTGGACTTGTTTTAATTTTCTTCAGCTTCAGCCTGCCCCTGGCCTTGTTTTGGAGCTTTTTCACCATCTCTTCATGGATGTCAGTTTGATTTCTGTGTATGCCATCTGGTGAGGTCCATGTGTCTAGTGTTTTTGTGTTGTTTAAAAAAGGTATTTGTAATGAAATTAGTGGTCTTGCAAAATTCTACCATGTGATCTCTAGCATCATTTCTATCATCAAAGCCATATTTTGCATGTTTGATCAATTTTAGACTGAAGAAGTTGATAGAATAATTTCATCATCACGTGCATTGGTGGTTGGTGTGTAAACTTGAATAATAGTGGTATTAACTGGTCTTCCTTGTTGTTAGGTGTCATCGAGTCAGTACCGACTCATAGCAACCCTATGCACAATAGAACGAACCACTGCCCAGTCCTGGGCCAATCTCACAATTTTTGCCATGCTTGAGCCCATTGATGCTGCCACTTTGCCAAACCATATCATTAGGGGTCTTCCTCTTTTTCTCTGACCTTCTACCTTACCAACATGATACCTACCCTCCAGCGATTGGTCCCTTCTGACAACATGTCCGAAGTTTAAGAAACAAAGTTTGGCCATCTTAGCCTCCAAGGAGCACTCTAACTGCACTTCTTCCAACACAGATCTGTTGGTTCTTTTGGAAGCCCATGGCACTTTCAATATTCTCCTCCAACACCATAACTCAAAAGCATCAATTCTTCTGCGGTCTTCCTTATTCACTGTCCAGCTTTCGCATGCATATGAGGTTATTGGAAATACCGTGGCTTGGGTCAGGCACACCTTAGTCCTCAAGTTGACATCTTTGCTCTTCAACACTAAAAGGTCTTGTGCAGCAGATTTGCCCAATGCAATAT